TCATTATCTCTTCAATATCTTTCTTTGCTTCTACATTATATACTGTAAAAATATTTAGTCCTTTTTCCTCTTTTACTATTCTCGTTCGCGCAATACTTTCTGTAATCATTACATTTTCATTTTTCTCCACTTCTGACCCCCAATCTTTTCTAATACCTATTAGTAAACCTCCCTTCGCCTTACCCTTCCTCCTTTCCCTTACAGCGTTAATGTTTTTCCAGCTGTGCGTTGCAGCCGACGGCAGCGAGCGAGCACGAGCAGCGGTCGCAGCAACGTCAACTACCATAACAGATTATAGGGTGTTGGCGCAGCCGATGATCAAGAGGCCAAAGGGGCAAAGTGAACCAAAGCAGCCCAAGGACAGCGTTACGAAGGAACGACGGGGCAATTTGGCAGAGGGAACGGTCGCGGAGCGAGCGTAGTGCGTGCGCGAATCTTTGTGACAGAGAAACTATATAACGAGCGAACAATATAGTAATGGACGTTAGATATAGATTATAATAATGGACTTTAGATATAGATTAAGTGGATGAGAGATTCACGAACAATATAATAATGGACTTTAGATATAGATTATAATAATGGACTTTAGATATAGATTAAGTGGATGAGAGATTCACGAATAAAATAACCGATTAAGGGAAAAAAGTTTGGAATTGCAGGAGTGCGGGGCGAAAGCGACAATCGGTGCATGACGAGCGGCGTGCGTGCGATTAGGCATAGAGATTAAGCGTTGTGGTACAAGCCGATTCGATTGCGAGACGGAGCCATAAAAAAAAAAAAAAGATTTTGAGATTAAAAAACCTTTTACCATACAAAATATTAATATTTAAAACAGTGTATTTAAAACAAAATACACTGTAATGTATCCTCATTGTCCTCACCAGTCTTTTCCACAGGCAACGGAGAAAGGGGGGGAACAGAACGAAACAAGTTCGATAAGATGAGACACGATGACATCAAGGGATAAGTATAAGCAAATAGATTCACGCGAATAAATCAATTGATCAAAAGCTCGGAAGTTCGATTGACAGAAAACACATTAACTGACCGAACAACGCGAAAAAGTAAAATCGGGGGCAAGTTGGCAATACGGCATTGACAAAATATAATCGTACAAGTAAAATTTCACGGTACTACATTGAGATCCACGATGATAAGGGTAGTTTGGCAGTTTTCCCAAGGCCGGGGCAAAACCGTCAAAGAAACGTAAAAGTCACTTCAAGACACTTAGGAACGCGTGTACGTTGATTCCCAGACCTTTGTGAAAATCCGGGGCAAAACCGTCACCCGTACAAAATGCAAGAAAACGCGTTATCCATCGAATGGCATTAACGATCGATATGGCAACCGTGAGAACCGGTCCTATGATCCAACAGAGTCCGGATCAGTTGGTACGACCCACGAACATCGAAATAAAGTTGACCTGTTCGACGAGAGACGCGACAGGGGTTCCCAACTGGGGGTACCACGCGAAGCGAACCGTCGATCGAGCGATCCGACGATAAGCGAAGCGATTCGAGCGGTAAAGCGGCGTGAGAATATTGCAGGCATCATCGAGAAACTGTCGTTGGGTAAAAGAGTACGCGCGAAACATGCGAAACCTGAACCGCGACGCGAGGAAGCGAAAATTAACGATATCGACGGTCAATCGCGGAGTTGTCGATTGTCACGCGATCCGAGCGACCGAGGGAATACAAATTCACCGTCGAATGATACATCGAATGGTAATGAAGTAGAGGAATCGTAACCACGGAGGCGCGGTCGGACTAGCCGACACATGGTGATAAATTGAAAACGTAAATTTGGCAAATATGTGTTCTAAGCAACATTGGGAAATCAATTAGACCATCGATTCATCATTCGAGCGGTGTTGTCAGGTGGAGGCATGGACCACGAAGGTGGAGAGATAACGGGCGACGCGTAGAATGGAACATGCGAGAGTTAGGAAACAAAATCGATTATCGAATGTCGAATGAAAATTGTCGAATAAGTTAACAAGCATGTACGATAATTAATGGCTGTTTAACAATCGCGAACGAGACCACGACGTTGTAACATAAATGAGTAAGCGAGCGAGCGAATAATTAAAACAATGTTAACGCAAGATTCCCTTTTCCCCGATAATATTCCGTGATTATGAATATTCGAGATAAATAAGTATGAAAGGAATAGAAGGATCGAGAAAATGGAATACTGCGTAGTGTGAAATCCATGTATTTGCGAAAGCTGTGAATAACATGTTTACATCCAATGAATGAGCCTATTGTACGCGGCAACACCTGCCTCGAACGAACAATGGACTCAGGAATGCGGAAGCGGTGAACGACCACATCTGGCTGGCAGGTGTATGGAACATCTGGCCGACGGAGATGCTCGATGGGGCGGAGCCACGACCAAGTGGGGATGCAGCCGGGAGTCGAGGAGCCCGAGCGAAATCCAGCGATCGAGGGATTCGTTGTCGAACAGTCGTAGAGTCAAGACGTCGGGAACTCACCGTTCGTAAAGTACGGCGGCTGACATTGTAACTTCTCGTAACGATCAAAGAATCTTAGACTCGGCGTTGAACGATCCCGCGGTAGACGCGTTAAATCTTTTTCACATCTTCACTATAATCTTGTACTATCTGGAATAGAATAAAATAGAGGATATTTTACTATTTGAAAACAGTAGTATTTGAACATTTATTCGAGTGCGGGTCAATACCTTGTCCTGAATACTTACCTGGTACTTACCTGATCCTGATACTTACCTGATCCATCATCGGCGATCCCACGACGCGCGGGGAGATCCAAGAGGCGGTCCGGGGCGAAGTCGTTAGTGCACAGCTGAGGCCGTCCAGAGAGAGTCCGGGAAGCTGAGTCCAGCAGGCGATCCAAGATCCGGCGGCACAGAGGAAACCTGAAACAGAGGATGAAGGGGTTGAGAGGAATCAGCGAGTAAACCAGGTGGGGCAAATCCGTCACTAAATAATTAACATCCTTTCTCGGTTTGGGGGGTCAAAACGCGAGTGGCGACCGTGTTAGTGACATAAAATCACATCAGAAAATAATCATTAACCGTAACGTGGGGAAGATCACACCTCCGTACGGTCACAGCGTTTCCGGTAGTCTACCCTTATTCTATCCCATCCCTTATCCTCTAACCATGTTTCACATAACCCTATATAATCGAAACCTACTATGTAATTCTAAAAATCTTTGTCCTGCCTCTCGATACCCGTTACATTCCAAAAAATTATTTTTTGCCTATTTTCATTCTTCAGCTGCTTCACTTTTCCGACCTCCATTCGTGTTGTTTGCCTATTGTCATCTTAAATGTCATAATTTGCTGTTTTTTTTTCCTAACTTGGCAGCCATCTAGAAATTTTTCTTTTCTCTTAGTTCTCCTGCTTCCTCGCTCCACACATACTGCTTTTCTCCTATACTCATCTTTTTATATCCTACTTTAACTATCTTCCCATCTTCTTTCTCTATTCTTGCACGCTCTCTTATTTTTCTCTGCACCTCTCTCTCCGTCTTCGTCATATCATGGTCAATAAAGATTCTGCCTTCAGATTTGTCCTTTAATTTCTTCTTCTCTTTCATTATCTTCTCTTTGGTTTCCCAGTCCTCCAATTCTATTATTACCACTTCTCTACCTTCCATTCCCGCAGTTTGAATACTCTTTACATTTTAACAACTTCAAAAAATTACTCGACCCCACTGGCCATTACTCCTTTATTCTTTTTCTTCACAACGTTTCGGCCTCAATCAGGCCCTTTTCAAGTGAGATGTTTTACATCAAGCAACAACAGTTGTAGTTGTAAAACATCTCACTTGAAAAGGGCCTGATTGAGGCCAAAATGTTGTGAAGAGGAATAATAAAGGAGTAATGGCCAGGGGGGTCGAATAATTTTTTGAAGTTGTTATTTTTATATGTACTAGCGAACCTAATACCATATGTACCTCCTTTCCTCCTCGCGACTCTTCGTTTCCTTTATTTTGCTTTACTAATTTCGCTACTTTCTCCACTACTTTTTCTATATTTTCTACTTTAGCAACTCCGGTTTTTCCTCTCCGTCTCTCCATCTCTTTCATTCTGTCTTCCATCTCCACCAGCTTCTTCTCCATTCTATCCACTCTCAGCTCCCAGTTTTCTTTTATTTCCTTTATCTCGTTCCTCAATTCTACCATTTCTATTTTAAGTTCCCTCAGCATCCCCATCAGTGTTCCTTCTTCATTCTTCATCCCCCTCTCCTCTCCTGTCTGCTTCAAACCTGGTGGTGTTCTATTCATCATATTACTTTTCTTAAATATTTCATCCGCCAGTCTTTCCCTCTCTTCTCGTTTCTTCTTGTTATGTTCCTTCTCCTTCTCCTTATCTTTACCTCGTACGTAATCCAGTATGCTCAACGAATCTGCTCTTTCCCTTCCTTTCAGTTCTCTCGTGGTCTTCTTTTTGCCTGTGCTTTGCACTTCTTTCGACATGTAGACGGAGCTTAAGCACGTCTGCCAAGTAGGGATCCTTTAATGAGGGATAGGACACCGAGGCTGCAGGATGCGGATTAGTCGTCCACCATTAATGGGATATTTCCGCTTTGAATATATTTTAGTAAAGATAGTGTATAGTACATGTCAATTTATGACATATGACCACAGTATAACTGTATGTACATAATGACTACGTTTACACGGCTCGATTTATGGCGAAGTTATAACATCGATGTTATAACTATCTGACGTTAAATGCCGTGTAAACGCTCTTTTACAACGAATTCGTTACCACATTGATGTAATAATTTCGTCGTAAAAGAGCGCGTTTACACGGCATTTAACGTCAGTAGTTATAACATCAATCATCAATGTTATAACTTCGGCGTAAATCGAGCCATGTAAACGTATTCACTGTGTCATAACTGATAAAGTGAGCAAGAGAAAAAATAAAAGTGCAAGCAAGAAGGAAAGAGTACGCTCACTTTTGCACAAGATAAAGAGTTGCAGAGCAATAGAGACGGAGAAATGAAAGATATGTGGGAGGGAAAGAGCAAAAGAGATATCCTGATAGCACTGACAATCCAAATAAGAGATATGAAGGATATGCTTACGCAGGAAAATAAAGAAATTAGAAGGAAGGTGCAACAGTTGAAAGAAGAATTGTATGCTGAAAGAGAGAGAAATATCTTGAGAGAAAAGGAACTAGAAAAAGAAATAGAGGGAAAGCTCAAGGATTTTGAGAAGAAATTATTGGAAAGCGAGCAAGCAAATAAAATTAAAACAATAGAAGCCAGACTTAGTAAGATCGAGGAAGGCAATCAGAAAAATATACCGGGAACAAGCGAAAATACAGATGAATTGAGGAAACAAGTAAAGGAAATAAAAATCATGATGGAGAAAAAAGACAGAGAAGAAAGAAAGAATAATATTATTATTAAAGGCCTGAATGTAGGAAAGGAAAGAAAAGGCTTGGAAAAGGAAGTAGAAGAATTTGTGAAAGAACGGTTGGGAGTAGAGGCGAAGATGGAAAGAGCGAGATTAGTAGGAGGAGGAAAAATAATACAGGCAAAAATAAGGGATCAAGAAAATAAAAGAAAAATAATGGAAAGCAAAAGCCGACTGGGAAAAGAAGAAATCTACATTGAAAATGACAGAACGGTAAAGGAAAGGGAAACACAAAGGGAGATTGTGAAGATGGCAAAAGAACAGAGAGCGCAAGAAAAGGAAGTGGTAGTTAGATATTGGAAGCTAAAAATAAAAGATAAATGGTACAGATGGAACGAGGCCAAAGCAAGGTTAGAATTGCAGACGTTTTTCCAGTCAGAGGACGGCGGAAGAGGCGAAGACGAAGGCATGAGAATGGAGTAGAGGAGGACAAGAAGATACATAATAAGAATAATGAACGCAAGGAAGGTAAGAGGAAAATAAGTATAATGTTCTGGAATGTGGCTGGATTAACAAGGAAAGATAGAGATTTCTGGGACTACGTGAAAGTTTTCGACATAGTTGTCACGTTCTGACTGTTATAGTTCGTCCGTTTTTTGGTCAATGCATTTAAGCAATTTACCAGGGATTTGGACAAGTCGTGTGGAGGATATTATTAATATATTTATTATTCGGGACCGAAAAGATATCTGAGTTTATACGTATGGTAACGAGGATCAGCTTTATTTATTTGGTTATAATTAGGATAATCAACGTCGAAATCGACAGGAATAGGTTTAAAGGGGGGTGCGTTTTCTAGTTGTTGCAATTGTTGGAGGAAGGGGAGAGGATCTTGATTAGAAATGACTGCTTGCTTGATCTGGAATCTGATTCGTTTAATACGAACGCGCCTACCTCCTTTCTTCGTCATTCAGCCGCGTTCGCGAAAATGAATTTTAAGCTCGCCACACTCTTCGGCAGCGCTCAAAACTAATCCGCCACACCCTCTGCTTGCCACACTCTTCGTCAGCGCTCAGATCGTCAGCGTAGAGGTCAAATTCACTTTCGGGAATTGTCGAAATTATTATCTTTTTCTGGGAACCAACTCCGTAATCGCCACGCTTTCGGCAGCGAAAGTACTGGATCGCCACACT